CTGGTGGAGAAAGTGGACAAAGCCTCCAGATCCTAACACTGATTAGTTTACCGTTTGTTGTATCCACCCCCCAAAAGCCGTCTCTGTCAAATAAATTCACCAAAGGCTGCCTTTTTCACCTGACTCTCGGCAAACAATGAAATATCACAGTGATAACAAAATATGTTGGTTTGCTGGTTTACCTCTAGAGAGCAGTATTACCGTAGATCGTCCCAAGGAGGACTCGGCACAGTTCGGTTTTCAGAGGGTAGTGTAAATTAGGTATAAGACTCTCTCCAATGGAGGAGCATTACAGCTGGAATCAGTGATGTCGTAAGGAGAGGTAAAAGCATGTGATGTTCTGAGCCTCACTGGCAAACAGAACACTTGGCTTGTTGTGCACAATCCCACAGCCAAACATGTTATGATCAACTGTAACCATCTACTGTAGCTCTCATTATGGGTGAAACTAAGACAAGCAGTCACAACCTTTATTTCAGAGGAAACTCTGAGCCAGACTTTTCCCATCAGCAACGCTGTCTCAACTGAGAAGGGGATGCATCTTCCCTGGATCTATGCCTTAGAAAAGACATAACAGGAACTATAGGCTTCCCTGCAAATGTCTGCAAATCTGCAATTCTGGCAGGAGAGGCTGAGAGTTTAACCATTCAGGCAGGTTATCTCACTGCTCCATGAAATGGTGAAGCATGTTACGGATAATCCTTAGACAATAAGGGAAATCTGGTTAAATCAATTTAAAAATTGCTCATTTTATTATATTTTCATGTGTAAACAATATGCCAACTGTTTACAGACTTGGTGGTTAAGCAACTGCACTAAGCAAGTGCTTAATTTTGGGGTTGTGTTTATGTTTATTGAATGAGTTTTTGATCAATAGTTATGGTGTAGTCTTTTACCATAATAGAGGGGACACCATTATGAATCACGGCTGCATCAGGAAAGGTCTATGAGCAACTCCCAGTGAGTAACTGTGGCAATATGGAGAGCAGCTGAAGAGAAACATACATGATGGTTAATGTTTGATTATTGATTTTACTTTATCAAAATCATTTTAAAGGAGGTTGGAGCTTCCAACCTGCGCCATTGAAGCTGCAGCTGAGCGTGAATTTGAGCTAAAAGGATACAAGTTTGACAGCGCACAGGAGCAGCTGAGGCCACCTAGAAGAGTCAGAGTGGGGCTGGTTCAGCACCGCATTGTCCTGCCTACTGATTCCCCAATCTTGGACCAGGTCAGGACTTCCACAGTACATTCACCACCATTTACCAGCAACCCAGATACAGGCTGATGCAGGAATGCAGGAAATCTTCTTTTTCTTCTGAAGGTTTAGGAGTGTACAATATTCTAGATTACAAAAAAATCTATTTTGTCTGTTTACAGATCAATGCTATGCACAGCCGTGTTGGTGAAATTGTAGAGGTCGCTGCCATGTGTGGTGTTAACATCATTTGCTTTCAGGAAGCCTGGAGTGAGTGTACAAAATGTATAAATTTATGACATATGATGGAAAGGTCACATAGAGCAGGCCTGCACACTTTATGTTTATAGCCATGCCGTTCGCGTTCTGCACCCGGGAAAAAGAGCCTTGGACAGAATTTGCAGAGTCTGCAGAGGAAGGAAACACCACACGATTCTGCCAAGAGGTAAATTTAACAATCATCTATGCTGCTAAATCAATATATTGGACTGCATTACATAACCCTGACTATTCCGTAATTCTGCCACTAGCTTGCTAAGAAATACAACTTGGTAGTTGTCTCCCCAATTCTTGAAAGAGAGGAGCTGCATAGTACTCTGTGGAATACAGCAGTGGTGATCTCCAACTCGGGGAAAGTGCTGGGAAAAAGCCGGAAGAATCATATTCCCAGGGTCGGAGACTTTAATGAGGTTAGCAGGAAAACTATGAGCTTCACTGCAGCTGTGGAGTACAACAGAACACTTTGTCTTGTTCTTTACCCTTAGTCCACATATTATATGGAGGGTGACACGGGCCACACAGTGTTCCAGACGCAGTTTGGAAAGATTGCTGTGAATATCTGCTATGGGCGTCACCATCCCCTCAACTGGTTCATGTACAGCATGAATGGAGCAGAGATCATTTTCAACCCTTCTGCAACAGTTGGTGCTCTCAGGTAGGAAATTGGCCGGAGTCCGGTTCTCTTTAATACGAAAGGGATAAAAAATATTTTTCTTTAAAGTGTCAATTTTAACATTTCATAATTTAACATAAATTGCCCTTAAAAACATGGGTTACAGAATGGTTGATTACCCTGCTGTTAGAATTAAGCCAATCCTACTGTTTTCAGTAAAATGTTTGTTTTTTTAATCATTGGGAGCCGAATAGGCATATTATTATGACCACATGCCTTATACTTAGTAGAGACATGCACTCCTATCTGACCACTGAATTGGCACCAAGGGATAAGCTGCAGATATTTTAAGACTTCTAGGTGGTGAGTTGGGAAATTCATGGATCAGATTTGTTTGTTTCAGAATATCCTACATATTCAGATGCACCTCTGCATCAGTGTCTGACTGCTTAGACAACACTTTCACTATTCCTAAATCCAACATATTTTAGCTAAACGTCAGTATTGAAATATTAACAGCAAGGCTGTCCATAAAAGGACGTGATTAATTAGATCTTCTGCCGTTTTCCCATGGTCCTGTTCTAAAAAATGTAACTTCAGTTAGCTCATCTTTTGGAATGGAACCCAAATGGCCAGCCTGATGCATTCAGATTTCCATCTATTGTTCTGTATTTTGTTAGAGCTGTTAGAGCTGTTCCGCCCTTCTAAATGCTTCCATCTGAAGTAAAAACACCCCATTGGAACTGGAATTCTTTATATGCTTTGACCCAGTTATCTAACCATTACTACTCAAAGACAACTCCTGTTTGCTTCATACAAAAGCAGAAAATGTAAAGTAATTCAGGTCTTTATGTCTTAGAGACATGCCTGTAGTCTAAGTAATGGGTCAGTTTCTGTAGGATTAATGGGGAAATAAACCTGAGTATCATTAGCATAACAGTGAAATTAATCCGATACTGTCTAATAGGAAGATGTGTTATTAATTTTCCGTTTCAGTTTCAATTCAGTTTGTTTATATAGCGCCAATTCAAAACACATGTCATTTCAAGGTTCTTTACAGTTCACCAGATCATACCGTCAAATTGATTCAAAGTTTTCTATCTAAGGAAAACCAGTTGATTGCATCGACTCATTGACTCAGATGCAATCCCTAACACAAAGCATGCTTGTTGCGACACTGGAGAGGAAAAACTCCCTTTTAACAGGAAGAAACCTCCAGCTGAACCA